ATAGGCTTACATGGAAAATTCGTGGCTTTTAACTCATAAAATCCAAAGTTACAGTGATTAAGGTAAAACAATAATTGCTGTGAGCCAATCTATGACGGATTCCTCTCCCAAGCGCCATGCCATCTTGAGGACGATGCCCACAACAGATTCCTAGCCCTGCTTGTCTTTCTGTGCTCACACTGGTCTGCGCTGCCTCAGGCTGCTGGTGTATGACTACAATTTACGAGGGCGAATGAGTTATGTTTCTCCAGAATAAATGGCATAGGTCCATTCCTACTGCTTACTTTTATATTTTAGTACTACAGTAGAATTTAACAATGCATATGAAAAAGTCTGTGAGAAAAACATACTTTGATATATTCAAATTTATCACTTTCCATATACAATAATATAAATAAGTAGCTAAGATTTAAAACCACAAATGCCACGTGCACTGAGCTAGTAAAATAAAACCCCCAAAATGTATGTGTTCAGCTCAGGTTTGCTGGAATGACTGTCCATTGCTTTCCCTACAATTTACATTGCCCCAGCTCATCACCAGGATCCCTACCAACACAGATCCAGAAAACACATGTCCCATTTTTATTTCTCTGGATCAGTAGGGACAAAATCTTCTGCACTTGATTCCATTTCTTAAGAGTGAAATTATCTAGAATTTACAAATAAGATGCACAAAATAATGGTCAATATTAGGATTATAGAAGGGCAAAGGACTGTCAAAATTCAGACAAGGAAGAAAAATACAAATGAACTATGTACAAAAGGAAAACCTCTGATCACAAAGTCAAAAAGACAAAAGAGGAAAGAAGAGAAAAACTATTGATGACATAACAATTCCTCTATCAAAAGAGAAATATCTTAAATGATCATTTTAATGTTTAGATCTATAGGAATAAGAGGGAACTGTCTTTGCATCAGTAGAGATGTATAAACAGATACTACTTTCCTTGAAAGCAATTTGATATATCATTAGAGTCTTTAAAACATTCAGATCCTTTGATCCAGTAATTTCTCTTTAAAAAGGCTCAGAAAACATAATAAGGACATAATCAGAGATTTGCACATCTTTTCACAGATGGTCAGTGTGGTCTCCTTTATTGTAGTTCATTTTGGAAACATCTTAATGTTAAATTAATCATAGTTTAGCCATATGTTCAGATATCATATAGCCATTAGGGTCTTGATTTTACAGAAATTTGGGAATTACTCCTGAATATAATATTAAGTGAAAAAAAGGAGAAATACCTTTATTTACATTCATTTTAAAATACATTGTACAGAAGTACACCAAATGCTAAAAGTAGTTATCTCAAGATAAAGAAATTATGAATGAACTTAAGTCCTTCTTTCCCACTTCTCCCTCAAAAATTTATAACTAGCTTTTATTTTTTTCAAAGTTTTTGTCATAGGGTACATGCACCCACCAGAGAGAGAGAGACAAGGAGAGGGTGAGCCAGTAATCAGACTTGGGCCTCGTAAATGGCCTCAACTTGTGTAGTAGCAATATCAACCAGCATGCAGTATTGGGACTGGAACTTGGGTTTTTCTTTATGGGTTTTGAATATAAGCAAGTTGTCAGAAAAATATTTTATGACTATTTTTTCCCTTGCTGTGATTTATCTTTTATTCTCTTTAGCATGTTTTTCAAAGAGCTGAAGTTTTTATTTCAGTGATGCTTGGCTCCTCTATATTTTTTCTATAGATTTGTTATAGTATCTAAGAAATACTTACCTATTTCAAGCTTATAAATATTTTTCTATATTTTCTTCTATTGCTTTATAATTTTGGCTTTTACCTTTAGGTCTTGTGCACTTGAGATTAATTTTTGGGTATGGTGAGTTTTATTGGTCAGTTGGTTGCCATAAAAAATTTATAGATTGAGTGAATAAACAATAAAAATGTATTATCTACCATTGTGGAGGCTGGAATTTTCAAGATTAGAGTGCCAGCAGGGTCATTCCCTGGTGAGGACTCTCTCTTCCTGACTTATAGATGACTATATTTTTGTGTCCTCATGTGACTGAGGAAGAAAGAGCGCAAACTCTGATGTATCCTAAAAGGATACTAACCCACTCATGGGATTCCCATCTTTATAATCTCATCTAAGCTGCATTATCTTCCAAAGACCTCCTTCCAAATATCGTGACACTGTGGGTTAAGGCTTCTACATAAAAGATTTTTGGAAGACACAATTTAGTCCTAAACAGTGGAGTAAAAGCTGAGGTTCATATTTCTCCCATAGGAGTATCCAGTTGTTCCAGGACCATTGATTTCCTCTCCACATTGAATTACATAAGCATATATTAAAAAAAATAAACTGGCAAGTAATATTGAAGCCTATTTTTGACTTAGTCATTCTTTTCCATTGATTGTTAGGACCATCTTTTTGCTCATACTATACTGTCTTGATTATTTTATCTTGTAATGAGTCTTAAAATCAGTTAGTGGAAATCCAACTATTCTCTTCTTTTCAAAATTGTTTTAGCGCAACCAGCAGATGGCATAATGGTTATGTTGCTGGACTCCCACTTAGCTGGCCATGGTTCCACTCCCAGACCCAGTGACTTAAGACTCACACCAGGTACACGTACATGCGAGCACATGATCCTGAGAAGAGAATGGAGGAGAAGGGATTGCAGAGTAGCCATCTCCCCTGGGGGGTGATTTTTGTGCTTTCTGTCTCTCTGGTGAGTGCACACACCCTGCAGCAAAAATCTCTCTTTTAAAAAATTGTTTCAGCTATTCTAGGACTTCATCAATTCCAAACGCACCTTTCCCTCTTCTACCTTCCTTCCACACTCTACCTTCCTTCCACACTGTCTCCTGTGTCCATAACTATTTTCACTGCTTTTGTGAAACAATCATTGAACTGATCCTGCAACTGGAAACACTACCTTTAATTTTGTTCTTAGAAGTGTATGTTGGCAACTCCTCAAAGAAGCTGGCTATTTTTTAGCATGAGCTGTCTGCTCTCTCCTCTGCCCATAAATAAAGTTGTATTTCCATTCACTGCACCTTGTACCTACAATTTGGTTTGTGGCACTTGGACACGTGAACTTGGTTTGAGTCCAGCAAGAAGACCAACTCATAATGATAGTCAAATAAGCCAAATAGTATATCTAGTAGTTTGTTATTTTGGTTTAGATATGCATTTTGAAAGCCTGTGGAGAACTGGTTCATCCCCTTAGAGACTTTCAAGGAATAAGAAATTGCCAAAAATGAATGTGGAAGAAAAAAATGGAGGGAAAATTCTGATAATCATTGAACAAGAAAGAAAACTACTTGCTATTTAAAATCCTGAGTGGAAGAGTATTGAAATGATGGACAAGACAAATTTTTCTGTATTCAAAAAGGGAAATAGGTGTTCCCAGGAGAAAGATCCAAGGAAGGGTATCCTGGAGGTAGTATTGCTTAGTTTATGAAAACTAAAACATCTAGTTCTTTTCAATACATAACATTAACTTAAAAAGAAAGGGAGGGAAGGGAAGAGAGAAAAAAAGTGATTGTGCCCCCAAGGGGATAACTACATAGCAATCCTTTCTCCTTTCTCCACTCTGGATTTTATGTGCACGCATACACACATGTCCAGCATGTTTTTCAAACTGCTGGGTCCAGGACTTGACCACATAGTGGACCATACTGGATCCAGCCGCCTTAAACACTTTGTCAGTGTCTCATAAAATTAACTGTTAAGGCCAGTAAGAAAAAAAAAAAGTGTCAGAGTTTAAGTCAGTGACTCTCTAAAACTTCTTACCCCTTTTCATAATTATATAATGCTTAAAACAGTGTACATATCTGAACTGAATATGAGAAATTTTATTTCCCAATAGTTATCGAGACATGATTACTATTACACTCTCAATCTTGAGGCAGATAGGAATAGATAGTTGAACAAGCTCAGAGCTACTAATTAAACACAGGACCCAAAGCTCTTTGGAGAAATCAGAGTGGCAAAGACTTTATTAACATGACTTTAGAACAAAAGGGCTCTAGACTAGTAAAATGACTCCATTCAGGTTATTATTTTTTTTTCTCTTTAAACTTTTAAGGGACATAAGACCTAAAGTAGATGACTATTATTAAAATCCGACTTTGGATAAATATTTAACAGTTCTGTAAGAAGAAATTTATGAACTTAAAATTGCTATATCAAATGCAATGGAGCCTCATTATAATTATCATATAAGACTTTGGATTCTTTTTAAGAATATGATGAATCATGTCCTCTACGTGAAAATCGATGCATTAAACATCTCTTCTTTACATAGAATACCCAAGCCTGTCTTATCTTGGGTATGTGACAACAATATTGCAAAGGGGTCACAGCATAAAGACACAGATTCAGCTGGTTGTAGTTCAAGTCTAAATCCATATCTCTGAATAATGATTGTAAAGCAAGCATTCGTTTCAGACACTTGTGGATTCTAACCTTATGCTGTGATTAAGAAACCAACATATTTGCCCAAGCACGCTAGGTTTAAAACCTGAGCTACAGATTTCATAAATTACAGATTTACCAGCATTTCTTCTATCATTCTGAATTAATGTTATTCTTAATTAATGTTATTAACATAAACATCTGGATGAATGAGTGGTGTGTAACTTATCTCAAACCTACAAAGCAATATTTAAATAATTTATGTAAAAATTCATTTAGTATTGTGTGCTTATTAAAATTTTGCAAACAAGAGCATGTTTAATTTTATGGGACTCTTGTGCATGAGAATACACCAAAAGTATAGAATTAGAATAATACTGCAAAATAGATTGCATTACTAAAATAATTACCAAATTGGCTGACTGAAGTTATTTTGAATGGGATAACTAATCTGTCATAGAATTAACACAGTTTTTTCAGATTATCAACATGCATCTGGAGAAATGATGTATTTGTTAACTGCTCTTCTTCATAAAAACAGCAGCTATCCAGGCAGTGGTGGACAGACTGTTTCCTAAGGGCTGAGTACAGTGTCTGCATTGGTCCCTGGGTTTCCGCTTACCTTCCTGACTCAAACGTGAACCATGTTGAGTCCCTTCCATATCTCCTCAGAGAGCTGAGAGGCCACATCACCAATTTGACCTTGGCGTTGTGGATATCCCAGAGATAGATATTCTCGTGAGTGATCTGCATCGTGCATTCACCATAAATATCCAGATTTGGTGTGGGCATAAGATACACATTGAAACGTTCTGCAAAGAAACAAAGAGTGGAGAAAATTAAGTGAAAAGAGGTGTGACTATTTACACACTTTATTAATTTATGTACTCTAGGCTTTGGAAAGCATTAGCGTGACCCTTGGCAACTTTTGCAAGGCCCTACCTCTTTCCATTTTATGTACGGGAAATAGTCATTAAAGCGTTTTTAATCATTAACTCATTCACTTTCCCATTCTACTACTTTTCATTGTATGCATTCTCCATGGTGAGGATTAGATAGTTAAATTATACAATGGGAAATATAGGTGATAACTAAGTGGGACCTTTGCCCAAGTAGTGCTTACTGTCTGCTTCTTCATACAATCTAAGTGGGTATCACAGAGTCGATTTCCCTGAGGCATGTCTTACTTACTCAGTTTAAGCAAGAACTTTTCAGTTCTACCTTTGTGACTTGAATTATTGAATGTACACTCAGAACAACTCATTAGCTACTTAAGTACTGCAAAAATAATTTAGTTTGTATCTCAAAATACATTACAGTCATGGTCAAATTGAGCATATGACAAATGCAGATATTCATTACTGACTTCTGCAGGACTGAATACATGGTGAACAAAATGAAACTGCCTAACTTCTTGCATTCCTGGATAGTCTATGGTTGAAAATCTGATTAGTAGGCAATGATTCCAAACCTTGGTTTGCGACTTTCTGTGTATCTTAAAGACTACTGCAAAATTCGGCAGCCCTTGATTCCCACGTAAATGCATTAAATGCACTTTATTTTGCAAACTAAGGTTAGTGTGTAAGCTCCAGGAAGTACTTGGTAAGCCTTATAAAATGTTCTATACAATATCTCTCTTTCTAGCACCATATCCTTGGTTTATAGTAAATGATAAATGAATATTGGTTAACTGTATGAATTAAAGAAATATGTGTCATGATGAATAGGAAATGTGATAATTGAGGAATTACCAAAAATAATGAGTCTTAATAACAAAGAGTCAAAGGTTTACTGGTAAACATATCTCTATGAGTTAGAATTTAATTTTGAATTGTGCTTTACTGGCAGTACTGCTAAACTGATTATTCTGGAAGGCGTAACATTGCAGTTATAGTTGGAAAAGGATTGATGTGTTTAGGAGTGTGCTATTATTCATCATAAGGCCACCATCTTAAATGCTGAATGTTGAATGGAATTGTCTGTGTAAGAGAATATTTTCTCTGAAAGTATTTTATCCAGTAAGGATTCTCTCACATTGTTCTTTTACAATATTCAGATTCCAAATGGGTTAAATTAATGTAATCATGACAGCCTAAAGTTTAGTAGCTTTATGGACAATATTTACACTTACATGTCTGAATATATTTGGAGAAAAGATAATCTAATGATTTAGTTTTTTTTGCTTAAGTTATAGGCCTGTGGAAGTAGTGTATGTATTGACAACACATTCATTTCCTAAAGAAAGACAAATTGAGATCTGTTCTGTAGCTGAACAATGAAGAAAGAAGACTGCCCCATTAATTATCTGCAATGAAAAACTACAAACATATGCACATTCCATACATCTTGATTCTTGCATGCAACTAAATAAAGTATCAATATTTAGCATTACATACATCACTCACATTCCTACTGTGAGTCCTATTCTAGTGGGATTAGAACTAGTAAATTAAAGGGCATGATCTCATATAAGACTGTAAGTGAACCTTGGAGCCAACTGGTTAACTGAGGAATATAAATAGTGCCTGAACAGCAGCCTTCTTTTCTCTGGTCAAGACCCTTTTGATAAAGTTCAGCTCCCAAATTTGGAATTATTCATATGTCGGTGGTATATGCAGTGCACATGGAAAATAATGTTAAGCCAGTGGAAAGAAAAACATTTCTCTACATTCTTTTCTCTTCATCAATTCCAGAGTCTGAGGACAGTAACGAAACCATCTTTGACCAAATCACAAGAAATAACAATACTTCTTTTAAAATAAGGAAATAAAAAAACCCAGAATGTGTGAAAAAAAAATTTCACATGACATGTCCTTAAAATGGAAGGTACAGGAAACATTACATGTAACAGAGAACACAGAAACACTGTCCTTTTAAAAAAAATATTTTTTTAAATTTCATTTTCTTTTATACATTCAATCACTTCATTTAGCTTACAAAGTGAATATTCCAACATGGTAACATTTCTCAGAACATTTCTCCCTAGTCCAGTTGATAAAACTATAAAATATCTTCATCAGATAATACCACATTTCTTTGTCCCATTAATTCCTTGCCTCTCTATTTTTTTTTCTAAATGTCCTTCTTCAGACCTGTCTCTTTCAAACACACTATATCTGGTATTTACATCCATTTCTATGCTTCTATATCCTTTAGACAATCAGTTTCAGTCATAGAGTGCAGACACTCGGTATATATTAAGTGGGGACGTACAGTGTCTCTCCTTCATAGCCTGGCTTGCTTCACTCAGCAGTAAATCTTCCATATTCTTCCACTTTCTGTCAAAAGCCAGGGCTTTGTTGTTTTTTTTATGGCTGAATAGTATTCCATAGAGTATAAGTGGCACAGTTTTTCTATCTATTCATTTGTTCATGAACATTTGGGTTGGTTCCATGACTTAGCATTTGTGAATTGTGCCACAATAAACATTGATGTACAAGCACTTTTCCAATTAAGAATTTTTCTGTCCTTTGGGTAGATGCCAAGGAGTGGGATTGAAGGATCATATGGTAGTTCTATTTGTAGATTTTTGAGGAATCTCCAAAGTGTTCTCCACAGTGGCTGGACCAATTTGCATTCCCACCAGCAGTGTAAGAGAGTTCCTTTTCACCACACCCCCACCAGCACTTATTGTTTGTTTTTTTATTTTGTTTTGTTTTCTTTTTTTAATCTTAGTCATTCTGACTGGGGTTAGGTGGTATCTCATTGTGGTTTTGCATTTCCCTTACAATGAGGGATGTTGAGCATTTTTTTCATATGCCTTTTGTTTATTCATATGCCATCCTTAGAGAGTGGTTTTTTCAACTAATTTTCCCATCTTTTAAGAGTTGATCATTTTTTTTTGGAACAGCTGCTTGAGTTCCTTGTGTATTCTGGTTATTAGTCCCTTAACTGATATATAGTTTACAAAAATATTTTCCCATTCTGAGAGCTGTCAATTCACACTAACTACTGTGTCTTTTGCCATGCAGAAACTTCTTAGTCTGATGTAATCCTACTTGTCTATTTTGGGAATTATCAACTGTGCTTTGGGGGTCTTATTTAAGAAGTCTTTCCCAACTCCAATGCGTCCCAGAGTTTCCCCATTGTTTTCAAGGAACAGTTTTATAGTTTGAGGACTTAGATTTCAAGGCAAGAAGAAACAATTTATTTATAAAAAAAAGGAAAAGGAAAAGGAAAAATAACTTAACTATTAATTACACCTTAAAGAGTAAGTAAAAATACCAGTATTAATATATGATATACATAGTGCATATATATAGATATACAATACACACACAAACACACAATGTAATATTAATGTTACATGCTTATCAGGACAGAAGAATTAAGACATATTCCCTCATATCAAGTTAAAACTCGACTACAATTTAAAATCACTTTAAGAAAACTTGCCTCCTTTATTTTCTGCTTTGCAGTGCAGTGTCTGCATGTTCAAATATAAGCAGATAAACCTATATAATAATAAACAGGGGAAGAGTACAGCTTCACAGTGGGCACTGGGGAAAACTGAAAAATAATGAATAAGTGAACTTAATAAGATCCACATGATACAGGGATCTAGGTATCAAAATCATTGGGGCACATATACAAACCAGCAGAAAGTGACAAGGTAACTTGACCTAAAGGGATGTCCAGGATTAGCTGTCAGCAATACAAGGCAGGTAGAATTTACCCTGGGCCCCTTCTCTCTTGCCATCTTTTTCCTCCCCTCCATCTTAACATACTTTTTGACCTAGTTATTCAAGTTAACACCTCTTGATAAGGGTTAAAGCCCTACAGTCTTCATTTTGATGCTATTTCTTGCAAATTTTAAGGTTTTTTTTTTTTAATACTATTTTATTAAATGTCAGAGTGTGGGACCAGCGGATGACATAATGACTACATCCCTGAACTCCGATGTAGTCAACTGTGGTTCAAGTCTTGGACCTAGTGGCTTAAAATTCATGTAGGGCACGTGTGCATGCGTGCCCAAAATCCCAAGAGGAGAATGGAGGAGAAAGGATTGTGGCATGGCCATTCCCCTATGGGGTGATTTCTCATTGTCTTTCTTTCTCTGTCTCTCTGGCAAACACACGTGCCCTATGGCAAAAGTCTCTTAAAAAATGAATTGTTAGAGAGTACAAACACTCCCCAGGAAGAGACAGAGAAACAAAGATAGAGAAGGAGAAAGCACTTCCCATGGAGTGTGGTCATGTTACCACCCCTTCTATTCCATCTTTACATCTCATGTGGATTTAGGGCACACATGTAAATGCACCTGGTGTGTTTTTCAAGCTACTGGGGCTGGGACTTGACCACATGATCAGCCATGTGGCTATGGGTCTGGCCTCTCTTGTAACTTTGAAAAGAATTATCCTAGGAAACATAATTTGAAGTTTTCAAATATTCAAAATCTATTATCCTCTAGTGGCTCACTTCCAAGGATTTCAGATTCAATTAAAAAGGGACTAATTTAATCCAGAAGAAAACTAGGCACATAATCCTGAGAGCAGCACATCAAGTGGGCTGTCATTACTTCCCTGAATTCTATTATAATGAGGAAGGAAGCTTTCTCTTTTTGCTGTGAATAAATTATTCTCTTAGTAACATAGAAGACACTGTTTGGCTAAATTTTGTTAAGATTCTCATTAGAAAGACCATTTCAATATACAGTGGTTAAAGTTGGCACTACTAAAATAAGTTTTACGAATGATTACCTTTCTGAAAAAAGTTATCAGGTAGACATTTTAAATCACTCTGATTACGTTACTTAGAAGCAAAAAGGGAAGGCCCTACATTAGCTTTTTACTGCCTAGAGTGCCTCTTTCCA